AATCAGAAGAATATATGTTAAGTTAAAAAGGGCCTTTTAAACCATGGCTGGGGTTGCTAAGTGGTTAGAGCATCATCCTGTGCACTGGAGGGTCTTGGGTTCAATTCTGGTCAACGGCATGTAACTGGGTTGCAGGTTCGATCCCCATCCCTGGTCAGGGCCCAAGCAGGAGGCAACCAACTGATGTATCTCTCTCACATTGATGTTTCTTTCCCCTCACCCCACTCCCTTTCATGGGGTAACAAAGACTTTTCATCAAGAGCATAATAGCTCAATATGTCTGCTCAAACTCCTTTCTCACATGCTAAAAATGTATCATTTTAATTCCAAATACACTTCTGTGTCTTCTAGCTCACAAACATCTATAATAAAAATTGTAATACAAGAATATCTGTAGGTGCTTGGTTTATGAAAGGATTTTTTTTTCTCACCCAAGGACATTTTTCGATACTTTTTTTTTTGTTCAGATAGAGTGGGAGGGAGAGAGAGAGAGAAACATCAATGTGAAAGGAACACATCGAGTGGTTGCCACCCACACGACCCAACCAGGGCCGGGGACAAACTGCAACCAACGTACGTGCCCTTAGCAGGAACCGAACCCGGGTCTCTCCAGACCGCAGGCCGACACTCTAACCGCTGAGCCAAACTGGCCAGGGCTATGAAAGAATTTTTTTTTTTTTTTTTTAAATCCTCATCCGAGGACATTTTTCCATTTTTTGTACAGATAGAGTGGGAGGGAGGGAGAGGAAGAGAGAGAGAGGGAAATATCGATGTGAAAGGGACACATCGAGTGGCTGCCATCCGCACGACCAACCAGGGCCGGGGACAAACTGCAACCGAGGTACATGCCCTTAGCGGGAACCGAACCCGGGTCTCTCCGGACCGCAGGTGGACGCTCTAACCGCTGAGCCAAACGGGCCAGGGCTATGAAAGAATTTTTTAATGAAGAATTCCTTTTGTTTATTATTTTAATTTATTGATTTTAGAGAGAGAAAAAAACACTGATTTGTTGTTCCACCTATTTATGCATCCACTGGCTGATTCCTGTATGTGCCCTGATCCAGGATCGAACCTACAACTTTGGTGTATAGGGTCTACACACTAACCAAATGAGTTATCCAGCCAGGGCTATGAAAGGATTTTTGAAACATTTCATTTGATCCTGACATTATCTCAATTTACTGAAGAAACGGAGGTCCAATAGAAATTAAGTAATTTGCACTATAACCTACATATTACACAGTTTAACACTAAAACACATATATTTTAATTCTTTCTAGCACACCACAGCTCCTTCCCAAAAGACTCTGTTCAAATCTTGTTGGTTGGACCAGTATTGGTTTTTTATCCTCACCTGAGGACATTTTTTTGCATTTATCTTCAGATAGAGCAGGAGGGAGAGAGGAACTGTATTAAAGGGTCGCAGCATTTGGAAGGTTGAGAACCACTGAGATAGAGAGGGAGGAAGAGAGAGAGAGAAACATCCATGTGCGAGAGACACATCGAGTGGTTGCCACCCATGACCCCAACTGGTACAGGGACAAACTACAACCGAGGTACATGCCCTTAGCGGGAACTGAACCCAGGACTCTCTGGTCCACAGGCCAACGCTCTAACCGCTGAGCCAAACCGGCCAGGGCGGACCAGCATTGTTTTATCAACTTTTTCAAGTAGGTTAACCATCATCAAAGGCCTAAAAATGAAAATCTTTGTCCTGCACAGTAATTGCATTTCACGCAAAGAGAAAGTACCTTAAACTGTGTAATATTAATTATCCTTAGATCACTTTATGATAATATCTATTATTATAGTTGCAACTATACCAATGGCAATGCAGTGGGTGAGCCCACTGGCATGATCTTTCAGTCCATATTATTTCCCATGGTTTACTTAGCTGGTGGCCAACTGTTCAACTCTAGATAGAAAGATAACAAGTATTAAACTGATTCTGATATTTTATCTTCCATTATTAATATAAGCCAGATGTAGTGGCCAAAATACCTAAAAGTAATGGGGGGCAGGGGGTGGGCAAGCAACCTTCTTTTTTTGTTTTTAATCCTCACCCGAGGACACTTTTGCAGTCATCTTCACAGCGGTTCTCAACCTGTGGGTTGAGACCCCTTTGGGAGTCGAACTAACCTTTCACAGGGGTTGCCCACAACGTAACAGTAGCAAAATTACAGTTATGAAGTAGCAATGAAAATAATTGTATGTCACCACAACATGAGGAACTGTATTAAAGGGTCATGGCATTAGGAAGGTTGAAAACCACTGAGATAGAGAGAGAGAAAGAAAGAGAGAGAGAAACATCCATGTGAAAGAGACACACTGGCTGCCACCCACAAGCCCCGGCCAGGGACAAACTGCAGGCAACCAAGGTAGGTGCCCTTAGGGGGAACCGAACCCAGGTCTCTCTGCACCTCTAACCGCCGCACCAAACCGGCCAAGGCAAGCAACCTTCTTTACTGTCCAAACTACAATACCATCACAGAAAGTCTGTATCTGCCTTTCATTTTGGTCCATGTAAATTCCAAAAACAATTTATCAGCAATCCCTTTCCCCAACTTCCCACATTTCTCTGATAGATTACTATCACTTCCCACGGTATCCTAAAAACTTACAAAGGCATTCTATTTCAAAATGAGTATTTCCTTAGGAACTGAATGTAAATACAGTAATAAAATTACTATATTGGGGCACTTTTAAAGAGGAATTCTGGAAGAAGTTCTGGAGAAACTTGATATACTGTAACTAATCACAGTCCTACTTCATACTGTATAAAAAACTAGCCTTTTCTATCACAGAATTTGTTAAGGGTCGAGAATATTTGGGCAGGTAAGAAGAGATATAGGCCTGCACCATAACTACTGTATTAATTTGTCTCTGGTAACCACAACATCGTTTTCTCTGTAGGTAATATTTTAAAGAACTTCACACTCGGGCCCTTCTTAGCAATGTAAATATACAGTTAACAGAAACTCCATTTCCATGGAGAACTGAAGAGCGAAAAGAAACAGCTATCTTGTACAATACCCAGTCCACTTTGGCCATCGACTACCGAACAAAAAAAAGAAAAGAAAAGACCTACTTGGAAAACGTATCTTCTCCAGCCAAGGGCTGTTCCCAGATAAAGGCAATGATCGGAGTACAACAACAACAACAAAAAAACCTTCTCTGAGGAAAGAAATGTGCCAGAAAAGGAAAGGCATGGATCGAAAATAAATAGGGGGGTGAGTGTAAGCGCTCAGTGTGAGGGCTGGAGGCAGCAGGCGCAGCGCTGAGATGCTCCAGCGAAAAGAACCAGCAGCAGCAGGAAGTTTCAATGGGGCCGGGCAGAGCATGCGCCCTGCACCCGCGCGGTGGCCTTATGTGGAAGGAGCACCACTTGCGAACACCAATAATAGACCAGCGGCACCAGAGAGAAACATGAGCAACAAGCACCTCTTCAACTGTTTCCCCCTCCGTCTGAGCCCCTCCTCCAGCCTACATACTAACCACCCCACCCCACCCCACCCCACCCTGCAAATGGGGAGGCGACTTCTTCTTCCCCTAAGCCTTGCTACCAAGATGAAGGGGGAAGGGACTGGAAAAGTGGGGAGATGCTTTTCTATGGGGGGGGTGGAGAAGAGGGAGAGGAAAACTATGGGGGAGGAGAAATTAACCCTTTACACTCCAAAGTGGAGGTGAACCGACTTAGTCCCTCAAAGCGAGAATGGAGGAGAACCCCCCCACACGGGGGAGGAGCAAATCTCTCTACTTGGAGGAAGGAGTTTTGGGGGTTAAATAGGCCCTCGGGGAGAAGCGGAGAGGGACGAGAGCCCACTCTCTCGGGGGAGTTCCCACTAGAGGGAGGGAGAGCTGAAGTGTCCGCTGGCCCCCGCCCACCCAGGTGGAGGAAGAGAAAGGGGGCGCCCCGAGAAGATGAGCGCAGCCTCCCCCGAGATGGTCTAGAGGATGGTGGGAGGAGGGGAGGGAGAGCAAGGGAGAAGAGGAGGAGAAAAGCGCAAAGCTGGCCGGAACCTGCGCTCCCCTTCCCCCGCCACCGAGAGGGAGACAGGGTGGGGAACCGGCCTCCGCAGCCTGGAGATAGTCTCGGGGGCAGCCGATCAGCACAATGACCCCTCCCCACCCCAAGCCCACACCTAGCCCGCGACGCCCCCACCTCCGCTTGGCGTCTGGCCGAATGGCTCTAGGGGGCCTCCGCCCCGCCTCCCCACTGCCCAAGACCCCCGGGGGCTGGGTAGAGAAAACCTGCCGGGCGGATCTGCACCCTAGGGGAAAGATAGTGCCGCGGAGGCCCGGGGCGTCTGTGAAGGGCTGAAAGAAGAAGCGTGCTAGGGCCGCTTCCCGCCGGGCGTTCGGGCCCCTCGCTTACCTTCTCCGTTGCCGACGTCCCGCGGCGGCGCCTGCAGCACCCGCTCCAGCTCGGGGAACGGCAACTCGGGCAGATCGAGCAGCGGCCCGTAGCGCTCCAAGAAGGAGCACACCACGGCGAAGTTGGGGCACGAACCCGGGCAGCCCGGAGGAGCCATCGCCGCCGCCGCTGCCGCCGCCGCCGCCATTTTGAACTGGAGGATGTAGGAGGAGGCGATGGGGGGGTGGTGGGGAGCTGGAGGTGCCGAGGAATGGCAGGCAGTTTTACAGACGACAGGAGGCGCTAGCTAGTGGACTCCCCGGCGATCCGAGCGTCTCAGGCACGGCGCCGCGATCCCAGAATACAACGGCGGCCGGGAGCAGTCGAGAACCAAGTCAGACGGGGGAAAGAGAGACGCTCTGTGCCTTTCACTTTCCTCCCTCTCCCCGCCCCCTTCCCTCCCTGTCCTTCGCCCCTCCCACTTTGGGTTCGCCACAGCCTCGTGTGACAGGGGGAATGAAAACAAGGGAAGCCGGGCAGGGAGGCGGGCTGGAAGCTAGAGAGGCGGGACTTTTTAGAACCGTGACCAATAGACTCGGAGGGGCGTGGCCTCGGGTGACGACAGGCAAAAGGCTTCTCGGGGCGGGGCGTGTAGGGGGAGGACCCCGGCCAAAGGCCCGAGCGAACCGAGGTGAGAGGTGAAGCACCGAGCGGTTTGAAATCGCTACTACCTGCAGAGAGGGCTTTGCGTGAGTTTGGCGGGGACTCCGAGAACTGTAGGGGGGCCACGAGATGGTGAGGGAAGTTACGGAGAGTGAATCAGAAGCAGAAAAAAGAGAATTAGGGGGAGAAAAGGCTCGACTGTGGGAGAACGTTAGAAAGGGGAAAGGTAAAGAGGGGCCCTTATTTAGGGGTTGGGATGGAACCTGTGTAAGAAATCTGCGGAGGATTGCCGGGCCGGGGGTGGGGGATTGCTGTCTGCTGGGGTACAAGATTCGTGGCTTTGCTTTCGGAAAAACAGGGTCTGAGGGCTCCAGGGGACAAGGGCCTGAAGGAACTGAGCTCTTCGGGGATCACCAGTCTGAGGAGGTGGGGCCCTGTCAGAGCGGAGTCTGGAAGGATCATCCTCTGCAGGAGGACCAGTGTGTGAGAGGACTGGGTTCTGCAGTGGTTGCCAGGGTGTGCGGGAGAAAGGCTCTGTTGAGGCACTAGGGTCTGAGGGGACAGGTTCCGTGGGGGGCCAGCGTCCGAGGGTGGGCTAGGACTCAGTCACTAAGAGGGCAGACCTGATAGGAGATTTAGTGGAAGAGCAAAAAGTTTGATAGAAGGCAGGGTTCCACTTCGTTGGGGGCAGCAGTGAGCATTCTCCCACAAAGAATCTCAGAAAACCATCAATAATGCAAAATGGAATGTACAGCTTCAGATGCCGTGTGCATTATGGTTAGGAGCCTGAGCTTTAGATTTAGACAGACTTGAATCCTAACAGAATTACTTCATAACATTGGGGAAGATTCTTCATTTCTTTGAACTTCTGTAAAATGGGGGTGATTATAATACCTACACCATAGGGCCTAGATAATTTACAGTAAATTGATTAGCACAATGCACTAGCACATTGTAAGTACTTTTTAAAAATAGAGTTCCTAAAATTTAGATTGAATTCAGCTATAATTTATAGAGTTTACCACTCTGAGCCAAAATTTTCAGTGTGCATTTAAAACTTAGTAGTACCTTGCCCTGGCTGGTTTGGTTCAGCGGTTAGAGCCTCCGCCTACAGTCCAGAGAGACCCTGGTTCGGTTCCTGCTAAGGGCATGTATCTCGGTTGCAGTTTGTCCCTGGCCCTGGTTGGGTCCTGCGGGAGGCAGCCACTCAATGTGTCCCTTTCACTTCAATGTTTCTCCCTTTCTTTCCTCCCCACTCTATCTGAATGAATAAAAATAAATTTAAAAATATATATATATCCTCCAGTGAGGATAAAAACAACAACAAAAACGTAGTAGTGCCTACTTCCTAAAAAGAATTTGAAACAAGGTACAATATAACAGTGTAAAATAGGACAATTAATGATTAAGGAAGATAACAAAATTTATAGGCAAATAATTATATTGGAAACAGAAAAAAATGCTTACCACAATTAAACGTTGAATTTTGTTCTGCATTTCTAGGTAAAAAAGGGGGGGCATAATAGTCTGGTTCTCAACCTTCCTAATGCCGTGACTCTTTAATACAGTTTCTCATGTTGTGGTGACCCCCAACCATAAAATTATTTTTGTTGCTACTTCATAACTAATTTTGCTACTGTTATGTCTTAGGTGACCCTGTGAAAGGGTCATTCGACCCCCAAAGGGGTCGTGACCCAGAGGTTGAGAACTGCTGGTCTATATCATTCTGATAATCTAAAGAAAGAATACACATTTATCAAAAGAAAAATTCTATTGTAAGAGGAATTTATTACCTAGAATACTGTTTCCTAATATTCAAACCCATTCTAAAGGAAAAAGAAAATGTTCTTTTGAAACATATCAAATGATTTTGAAAATTCCAGTTTAAGAAATACTGATGTAAGAATGTAAAGCCTATACAATTTAAATGTACTTCATGCCATTGAACTATAAACTTAAAAATAGTTAAAATGGTAATTTTTATGTTATGAATATTTTACCACAATAACTTTTTTTTTAAGTAAAATCTTACTTTAGGAAAATATCTATGGTTGTGAAATATCATTGCAAAAGAGACGTTTTAATTTAATGTATGATAAAATATATTGGTAAAACTCTCAAACTCCTCTTCCTTCCTATTTCTTTGCTTTCAGCTTCTCCAACACTTCACCTCCTGCTCTCCTATGGGGTTATAAAATAACATTCTTAAAAAAAAAAAAAAAGCTTTATACTATAGTTTTCTTTTTGCAGTGCTTACACTGTTGTTCAAAAGGACCGTATGAATAAGTTTAGAGTTTCTTTGTTAATTCAGATTGGCATGGGAACAAAGTCCTTGAGCATCAAAAAATGTATATCCACCCAAAAGGTAAGAGATGTTTTGTTACAAAGCAAGGTTTAGATCATACCTTCAGTAAGTCTTTTCTTGAAAAGAAATTAAGTGACACACACCCATAACACCATCTCTTCTGGCATGGAAGAAATGAGACAACTTCTATCATGAATAGCATAATCTTATATTTAGAAAATACTAAGAAATCCACCAAAACACAGTTAGAACTAATAAACAAGTTAGCAGAATACAAGATAAATACTAAAAAAATCAAGTGTATTATTTATACAATAGCAATAAACAATCCAAAATGAAATAAAAATAATAATTCCATTTACAATCGCATCAAAAAATAAAATATTTAGGAATACATTTTTTAAATACAAGACTTGAAAATTTAAAAATATTGTTAAAGGAAATTAAAGCAGTCTTAATGGAAAGATCCCATATTCATTGTTTGGACGACTTACTTTTGAAAGTAATGGCAATATTTCTGAAATTGATCTACAGGTTCAGCCCCTGGCCAGTTTGACTCAGAGGTTAGAGTGTCAGCCCATGGACTGAAGGGTCTTGGGTTTGATTCCTGGTCAAGGGCACATACCTGAGTTTCAGGGGGTTTTTGTTTTGTTTTGTTTTTATCCTCACCCGACGACATTTTTCCATTTTTGTTCAGGTAGAGTGGGAGGGAGAGAGAGAGAGAGAAACATCGACATGAAAGGGACACATCGAGTGGCTGCCTTCCCCATGACCTCAACCGGGCCCGGGGACAAACTGCAACCGAGGTACGTGCCCTTAGCGGGAACTGAACCTGGGTCTCTCTGGACCGCAGGCTGATGCTCTAACCCCTGAGTCAAACCAGCCAGGACTGAGTTTCAGGTTTGATCCCTGGCCCCTGTGGCTGTTGTGTGGGAGGCAACCAATCGATGTGTCTCTCTCACATTGATGTTTCTCTCTCTCTCCCTCCCTCCTTTCTTTCCACTCGATCTAAAAAAACAATGGAAAAATATCCTTGGGTAAGAATTAACAACAACAACAAAAATTGATCTACATATTCAAAAATTGCAGTAGGCTTTTTGTAGAAATTAACAAGTTAATTCTAATATTAATTTTTTTTTATTTTGTTTTTCCTTTATTGGTTTTAGAGAGAGGGGAAGTGAGAAGGAGAGAGAGATAGAAACATTGATAAGAAAGAATATCAATTGGCCGCCTCCTGCATGCCCCCCATGGGGATCAGGCCCACAACCTGAGCATGTGTCCTGACTGGGAATCAAACCAGCAACCTCTTGGTGCATGGGTAGATGCCCAACCACTAAGCCACACCGGCCGGACTAATATTAATTATTAATGTGGAAATTCAAGGGACCCAAAATATCCTAAGCAGTGTTTTTAAAAACGAACAAAGTTGAAGATCTCACATTTCCTGGTTTCAAAAGTACTGCAAAGCTACAGTAATCAAGACTGTGTAGTACTGTCATAGGATAGCTGCTATGGACAGAATTTCTCCCCAAAGTTCATATGTTAAAGCCCTAAACCCAGTGTTTCTATATTTGGAGACAGAGCCTTAAAGGACAAATGGAGGTAATTAAGGTTAAGTGAAACCATGAGGTCTTAATTCTATAGGACTGGTATCTTTATAAGAAAAGGAAAAGACATCCTGGCCGGTTTTGCTCAGCGGTTAGAGCATAGGCCCTCGGACCAAAGAGTTGCGGGTTTGATTCCCATCAAGGGCACACATCTGGGTTGCAGTTCAGTCCTGGGCCGTGGTCAGCATCGTGTGGGAGGCAACCAATTGATGTGTCTCTTTCACATTGATGTTTCTCTCTCTCCCTTTCACTCTGTTTAAAAATAAATGGAAAAATATCCTTGGGTGAGGATTTAAAAAAAAAATGGAAACGACACCAAGAGTGCTCACGCACAGTACTTATGCACAGAGAAAAGGTCATGAGAGGATAAAGGAAAAAGGAATCCATGTGCAAGCCAGGAAGAGAGGTCTCACCAGAACCATTCCTACTGGGGATCTTACACTTCCTGCCTCTAGACTCTAAGAAAATAAATTTCTTTTGTTTAAGCCACCTAGTCTGTGGTATTTTGTTATAGAATTTCTAGGAGACTAATACAGAAGTCTTTCTCAACATTCATAGCAATTCTTTATATTTTCCTTATACCACTTTTCAAAAATTACCTTGTATTTAAAGAAGTTACCTTTTAAAAAGTACATTATAGTTAATTGCATGTCTTCTCTCCTCTAGTGTAATATTAGCTCTTCAAGAACAGGAATTGTGTCCTATAAATTTGTATCTTCCTCCCCATAGCACCTAAAACTGTGTGTTTGTGTCCTTTGTTATATAATACATTTTAAAAATGGATATTTAGAAGTTGAAGCTGCAAAACTATATTAGTGGTTATTAATGTTAGGCAGAAGTGTCACTTTATTATTGTCTTTATTTGGAGATTTAAGTATGGTTTAAGGAAATGTTTATAGGTGCCAAATTGACAAGGGTTAAACTGTAATAGTTTTGTGTGGACTTGACTGAGCTATAGTACCCAGTTATTCAAATGCTAATCTAGATGTTGTCCTGTAAGGTGTTTTGTAGATGTAGTTAACATCTGCAATCAGTTGACTTTTAAATAAAGGAGATCATCCTCTATATTATTTGTAGGCCATATCCAATCAGTTAAGGCCTTACAAGCAAAACTGAGGTTTCCTTGAGGAAGAAAAAAATAACATCAATACTGCAATGACAACTTCTGCCCCATATTTAGCAGCCAGCTTGCTGTACACATTTTGGACTGGTCCACTCACACAACTGCATAAGCCACTTCCTTGAAATAAATCTCTTAATATATATAATCTACTGAATCTGTTTTTCTAAAGAATCCTGACTGACGCAAGCACCTTTTAGTTATTGTACTGATAAACACCAGAATTTTCATTTGATTCCTTTCTGAAATGTCTGCCTATTGAGATTCTTTATTCATTCAGTCATCGTATAATGATTTTTGTTTAATTCTTTATACATGGTTTCATTTAGTTCTTTGAATATATTTATAATAGCTTCTTTGAAATCTTTGCTAAATCAAACATATGGGAACACTCTGATACACTTTCAATTGATGAGTGTAGGTTACCTTTTTTGTTTTCTTGCATGACTCCAAAATTCTTTTGTTGAAAACTGGACATTTTAGATTATATACTGTAGGAAGTATGGGTCTGATTCCCCCCCCCCCCACCCCCAATCGTGTTGTTCTTAGTTTTTGTTTGTGGTTTAGTCACTTGCCTAGACTGAATCTGTAAATTCTGTCCCCTACCCAATATGCGGCCACTGGAATCTACATTCAGTTTTTTTCCTTGTTTTCATTTTTTTTAAGTTTTTTTAATTGATTTTTTTTTTCCTGTAGGGAGAGAGAGAGAGAAACATTGAAGTGAGGGAGAAACATCAATTGGTTGCCTCCTGCACGCCCCCTACTGAGGATCAAGCCCTCAACCCTGGCATGTGCCCTAACCAGGAATCAAACCAGGATCTCTCAGTTCATGGGATGACGCTCAATCCACAGAGCCACACCAGGCAGGCTCCTTATTTTTATTTTTAAGGCTGAATTTCTAGGGCTCTTTGTTTCTATATGGCTTAGTGTTTAACCAAAGATTAATTAAATGTTGCATCCAGACACCTCAGAACAGTGAGACTTGTACTCTCTACTGATGGATCAGTGTGTGTACTGAGGAGTACATTCAATATTTATGCTTTTTCATATCTTCCCTGGCTTCCTCTTGAGCCTTCTCACTTCTCCACTTTGCATGTGCTCTAGGCTGCATTGACTCAGAATGTTTGCATAACTTGGGCCTACTCTGGTCTTTGATACAGATGCTCACAGCCTTTTGTCCACTTTGGATATGTGGAGAGCTTATCAAGCCCCCTATGGTTGTGTCAACTCTGGGAAATTCCTGTTAAATCCTTCTCTACTCTCCCAATCCATTGCTTGCCCCAAACATGCCCACAATACCAAGGAACCAGAGTTACCTGTCATCCATATTCACTTCTATGATCACGAGTTTAAATCTCAATGCTTAAAATCAAGTGAGCCGCCTCTGACGGTAGCAGCAAGACTGTTGTTTTTCATGTTCTACTCCAACCAAGTTGAACCTCTGTGCCAACAGAATCAATGTGGGGGCATGGGAGTGGTTCTAGGCAAGAACAGCAAAATATCTTATCTGAAATTCAGTGGTTGTCATAAACTAATACTTCTCAGTTATACTATGCATTTAGTATTATTTCTAGTGTCAAGTGATTATTTTTTATAGTTTTGTCCAGCTTTATATTTGCTTTTGGGGAAAAGATTCTCAACCTCCTCACTCCATCATGCTGAAGTAAATCTCTACCTTTTAATTTTATCTCCATAAAAATATCCTGAGAATTCCATCTACAGTCTGAGAAGTAATTATACTATCTAGTTCCCAAGGCTAGATGTTTCAGGATCCCAAGAATAACAATTTACTTTTTAGACCTCTAAAAAATAAGTGACAACCACATAAATGAGAAAGATGCTTCTTAACTCATAGAGGACCAGAGCTAACTATATTTTGTATATAGTATTTAATATAAAACAAGAAATTTACTTTTAAAAAAAATCCGAATGCTGGCATTGTTCAGAAAAATTTAACAAGTTTATTTATTATTATAATAAAGTTAAACTGCTGAAACTTGTTCATTAAAACATTTTGACTTTCATTATTAATGCTTTATGTCCTCACATTTATATTTTTAAAAATTCACACACAAGCCCTAGCCGATTTGGCTTAGCAGTTAGAGCATCAGCTTGTGATCCAGAGAGACCCAGGTTCGGTTCCCACTAAGGGCACATACCTCGGTTGCAGTTTGTCCCGGCCTGGTTGGGTCGTGCGGGAGGCAGCCACTCGATGTGTCCCTTTCATGTCAACGTTTCTCTCTCTCTCTCTCTCTCTCTTCCTATTTCTCCCTTCCACTCTATCTGAACAAAATATGGAAAAATGTCCTCAGAGGAGGATAATAAAATAAAATAAAAATTCACACACAAGTGAAAATGGAAAAACTACCAATACCTGATTTCTGTCCCCCATTTTCCACTTGCAGTCATATACTAGATGTATTTTGACCCTATGGGGAAAATAATATCTAATGTTCAGAACTTCCAATAACAGGAAAAAGATAAAGTTTTTTAAAAGAATGAAATGTTTCCCATCAGTGGATTCTTAAGCACATTCTCCACGTACACAGAGGGCTAGCTGGATATCTTTTGGCATAATTGTTACACGTTTGGTGTGGATAGCACACAGGTTAGTGTCTTCAAAAAAGGCCAACCACATAGGCCTCACTTGCCTCTTGCAACGCACCAACAGCTGCACTCTGGAAGCGCTGATCTGTTTTGAGGTTCTGAGCAATTTCTCACAGCAGACGCTGGAAGGGAAGTTTGAGAATCAGAAGTTCAGTGGACTTCTCTGATAACATCTAATTTCATGGAGTGCCATGGAAACAGGCCTGTAACGGTGAGGTTACTTCTCCCCTCCAGTAGAGGGCAGACTCTTGTGAACAGCCTTGGTAGCCAGTAGCTTCTTCAGTGGAATTTGCGGGCAGTCTGCTTTGTACAAGTCATGGTATAGAGCAGCGATTTTCAACCTTTTTCATCTCATGGCACACATAAACTAATTACTAAAATTCTGTGGCGTACTAAAAGAATATTATATTGTTTGCCAATCTGACAAAAAAATATAGTTACAATTTTGGTTCATTCACCCCAGACAGCTATTGTTATGTTGTCTGTTGTCATTATTTAATTTGAAAGCCTAAGGAAAAAGAGGTCAGTGCTCCTAACTAAATAGTAAGGTATTGCATGTTTAAAAAATTCTCGCAGCATACCAGTGTGCTGCGGCACACCAGTTGAAAATCGCTGGTATAGAGACCTCCTTTTCTCCCTTGTCCTTTCCCTAGAGCTCTGTGAGCTGGAGGCGGTGCTGGCATTAGAGAGTGGTGGCCTATAGTATTATATTTTTATATAGTATACCCTCTGTATTTTGGAGATATAACTGATTTGGTGTTGTTGTTGTTTTTAATTTTCAGATTTCAGTTAAGTTACTTATGTCTTCCCCTGAAATTGCTTCCCTTTCATGGGGGCAAATGAAAGTACAAGGCTCTACTAAAACCTATAAGGACTGCAAAGTGTGGCCCGGGGGAAGTCGGGCTTGGGATTGGAGAGAAACAGGAACTGAGGTAAGCTATTATGTTTGGTGACTGCATAAGGCTGACCAAGTGATTTCCAACATTGTAAGCTATAATGACCAAGTGCAAACTCACTCACTCTCTCTCTCTCTCTCTTTTTCTCACCCTTCCTCCCTCTCCTTGAGATATAATTCAAGTATGCAATTCAATGGAGTTTTTATTATCATAAACTTATGCAACAGTTGCCACTACTAATTCCAGAATATACTATCACCCCAAAAGGAAACCCCATAACCATTTGTAGTCACTGCCTATTCTTCCCCTCCCCCAACTCCTGGCAGCTACTAATCACTTTCTGTTGCTATAGATGTGTCTATTCTAGACATTCCACATAAACAGAATTATTCACTTCTCCTAGGTATATACCTAGGATTGGAAATGCTGGGACCTATGGACACTCTTAATGTTTAACCTTTCGAGGAACTGCCAGACTGTTTTCCAAAGCAGCTGCACCATTTTACATTTTAGATTTTAGGAATGTACGATGTTTTCAATTTTTCTAAATCTTTCCACATTAACACTTACTATTTATTATTTGGTTTTTACTATACCCTTATAGTGGGTGTAAAATGTTACCTCACCGTGGTTTGAATTTGCATTCCCCTTGCATGGCACTTCCTCCAATATTCTCAGTGTACAATGCCCAAGGTAGAATCTCTGTTCCATTGTGAACATAATGATATGTTTTATTGTATTCCACAGTCTCTGAGTCTCTGTTCATTGCCTTTGTTCTTTTTTCTTTCCTTTTTCTCAGATTAGATCATTTCAATTGACCTGTTTTTCAGATTTGCTGATTCTTACTTGCTGTTGAGCCCCTTTAGTGAAATTTTTATTTTAGTTATTGTACTTTTCAACTCCAGCATTTTTATTTGGTCCTTTAAAATAATGTATATCTCTTTATTGATATTCTTTATTTGGTAAGATGCTGTTCTCATACTTTCCTTTAGTTCTTTGGGTATGGTTTTGTTGTTGTTGTTGTTGTTTTATCCTTAGCTGAGGACATTTTTGCATTTATCTTCAGATAGAGTGGGAGAGGGGGGGGGGGGAGAGAGAAACATCTATGTGAGAGGGACGCATTGACTGGTTGCCACCCACATGACCCCAACCAGGGTGGGGACAAACTGCAACCAAGGTACTGCCCTTAGCGGGAACTGAACCCAGGTCTCTCTGGACCGAAGGCTGACGCTCTAACCGCTAAGCCAAGCCAGCCAAGGGATGGGTATGGTTTTTGAAACAATAATTGGACTAAGGTTTTCTTACATTCCTGGGATCAATAGGTGTTTCTTTCTTTTTTTTTTTTTTCCAGTTTGGGGTATGCAGTCAACACTCAGCCAGGTAGTTTAAAGCTCTGCTGCTTCTTGCTTATGCAGAGTCTCAAGGTTAGCCAGAGTTGTGACCTTATAGCCTTCTTACATCATTTCTGAGGATGTGCACAACCTTGGACATACAGATGGCCTTTTCAAAACCGAATTTATGTCAGATCTTTTCTTTTTTTTTTTTTTTTAATCCTCATCCGAGGACATTTTTCCATTTTTTGTACAGACAGTGTGGGAGGAAGAGAGAGAAAGAGAGAGAGAGGGAAACATCGATGTGAAAGGGACACATCGAGTGGCTGCCACCCACACGACCAACCAGGGCCGGGGACAAACTGCAACCGAGGTACATGCCCTTAGCGGGAACCGAACCCGGGTCTCTCCGGACCTCTGAGCCAAACCAGCCAGGGCTATGTCAGATCTTTTCAAAGCCCTTATGGACATCTCATTTCCCAGTGTTTTGTTTTGGTTTGGGTTTTTTTTAATTTGTTGGTTAACCACTTGTTTTCCCTGACTGTTTTTCACAAACTTTTCTGGGGGGAAAAAAAGGCAATTTGCAATGATGAGCTCCAAATGAGATAAAATAAAAACAGCCTGTGAGTGGGGTCTTCCAGGGTACCACCAGAGAGGTCAAATAATGACAGTTCTCTGGGAATGGAGATTTGAAGATTTAACCCATTATTCCATCATTATGTGACTGCCAGTCTGTTGCTTTTCACTGAGATTGCAAGTTGTTGCTTTTCAAGGCTACCACAGCATTGAGGATGGGGTAGATAGGAATAAGGCATGTTAAAACTTCACAAAGTCCACTTTTTGGCCTTTTTTCATCAATAAACATGCCCTGAATTGCTGGAAAGCTTTGTTAATCTACAGATACAGAAAAAGTTTATTTCATTATTATTTTTAAAAAATTTTTTAAATTGATTTTAGAGAGAGAGGAAGGGAGAGGGAGAGAGAGATAGAAACATCTATGAGAGAGAACATCGATTGGCCACCTCCTGCAGGCCCCGCACTGGGGATCAGGCCCACAACCTGGGCATGTGCCCTGACCGGGAATCTAACCTGTGACCTCTTGGTGCATGGGTCAATGCTCAAACACTGAGCCATACCAGCCAGGCAAAAGTTTATTTTATTTTTGACGAATTCTCATTGATTTATAGAGAAGATGATTTACAGAAGTTCTTAATAAACATTTTTACTGACATTATTCAGAAGTAACTATTTCAGATTCATACTTTCCCAGTGGTGTGCTAGATGTGGCTTTCTCTGACTCATTGAGGGCTAATTCATAATTTTTCAGGAATTTTATAAACCACTTTTTAGAAGCAGCCATTATTAAAAATTAAATTATATAAACTTACTTAAATAAAGCATTTAAAACATAGGTAATACATACTTAACTACTTCCTAATTGTTTTACTATATTCTATGCTCTTCAAGTTATTTACATTTATTGTTATTTGTATATTGAAGATACTATATTACATGTGCTACTGTACATGTCTTACTAACTCTACATTCAGTGATGTCACATTGGTATCAGCCATGATGGGAGTATTTATACCACAGAAATTGGAAAACACTTAACATATTGGGTGGTTTTGTTTTTGTCATTGGAGCTATATGGCTTTAAAAAAATTTATGACTGCCCTGCCAGGGTGACTCAGTTGGTTGAGCATTGTCCTGTGCACCAAAAGGTTGCTGGTTTGATTCTCTGTCAGGGTACATACCTGGGTTGTGGTTTTGATCCCCCATCAGGTGTGTATAGAAGGCGATCAGTCAATGTTTCTCACATTGATGTTTCTTGTTGTCACACTTCCTCTCACTAAGCATGTCCTTGGGTGAGAATTTAAAAAACTTATGACTTAAAAACATTATTATTAAACATAATAAGTTCAGCCCAGCTGGTGTGACTCAGTGGTTGAGTGTTGGCCCCTGCACCAAGAAGTCGTCGGTTCGATTCCCAGTCAGGACACATGCCCAGGTTGTGGGCCTGATCCCCAGTGCGGGGCATGCAGGAGGTGGCCAATCAATGTTCTCTCTCATAGATGTTTCTATCTCTCTCTACCTCTCCCTTCCTCTCTCTCTAAAAATCAATAAAGAAAAAAAATTAAAAACATAGTAAGTTCAATTTATTACAAAGTATAAAGAATAATACGCCCATGTACCCACAGGCTTATTATTTTTAAGATTAAAAATAAAATCTTAGAAATACAGTTGGATTGCTTTCCCTTTTCCTTCCTCCTTTGTAAGTATCCTGAATTTCCTTTATACTTTAAAAATATCTGTATGTATCCACAACAGTATTTTTTTCAGAGGGAGAGAGAGATAGAGGGAGAGGGAGAGGAAAAAAAATCAACTTGTTGTTCCACTTATTTATTCATTCATTGGTTGATTCTTGTATGTGCCTTTACCTGCAACCTTGGCGTTTCAGGACAATGCTCTACCCAACTGAGCTACCCAGCCAGGGCCTCCACAACAGTATTTTGCATTGTTCTTCATGTTCAAATTTTTATATTAATGGTAACATCTATTGTCCACTTTGCTGGGTTCTTTTGTTTGTTTATTTCAAAGTTTTAATATACTTTTATTTCAATTTTTTTTGGAAGTTATACATTCCACAGTAAGTCCTCACTCAACGTTGTCGATAGGTTCTGTGACTTTAAGTAAAACAGTGTGTAACAAAATCAATTTTACCGTAGGCTAATTGATATAAATAAGTGTTAAGTTCCTACAGTACCTCATTAACATTATAAAAATGATGTTATTTGAGGACCAGCTATATTTCTATTTGTTTAGTGGTTATCTTTAAAATTATATTATGTTGAGCCACATAAAATTGACATTTTCGTTGGTCAATATTTTGTAGGTAAGAGTTGAATATCAACAATTTTATGTAGTTGATCCTAATATAATCTTAACAGAGTCTAAAATTATTTTTATCTTCACCTCAGAACACTTTTCTCTCATCACTTCCCTTCCTTCTTATATGTTATTGTAATCCAATGACTTAGTTTCTTCAAAAGTATATATTTTCTTATATTATTTACTTTATTAATATATTTTGTTTTTTAATTATTACAATCAGTGTTTGCTTATATTTATTTATCTACATGTATACCAGTTTCCTAGGTTATCATTCTTTCTTGCAATTTAGATCTTTGGGGATCAATTTCTGTCTTTCTTTTTTTAAATTAGTATTTTTTACAAGTTCCTTAGTGAGGATCTTTTGGTGAACTCTCAGTTTTTGTCTGTCTGAAAAGGTCCTCATTTATTTATTCTAATTTTTATTGGTGTTCTATGTTAACAATAGTTTTTCTAGCACTCTATCAGTGGGAATTTTCAGTGGTCAGACTTTGTCTTTCTTGACATTTGTCTTGACAAAGATTTATATTTGCTTACCCTTGGCATTCTACATTACTCTCAATTTGGGACTATAAGATGATTTCTTGACTGGGAGCTTCCCAGACCAGCCTGATAGTATATATTTGAACCCCAAACTGACATGCAGGCAGGTTTGTGATTATAAATTCTTAGGACATTACCCCCCACCAACCAGGCTGAAGCAGACAGGTTTCTTCATCTTTTCTCTTTCCACTGAGTGATTTTATTTTTGTTTTTTTCGGTCAGTCCTTTCACTGAAGATGGGTTTAAGAAGGGTACTTTGTATAATTGGGA